AGTGGTGCCTCGCAAGACGAAATTAATTCGTTCCATAAGTTTTTTCTTCTTGCGAGTTTTTAGTCTTGCGATGCACGGTTTCCCATAGGAATGCATTGAAAATCAATTAATGCGTTCCTAGGAAACCGACTTCAGACCAGGTCCGGGGACAGTCTGTCCCCGACCTCTTCTGAAGGCTGGGGGGGACAAGGGCTTTTCTTCCCACCCACCCCAGCATTTTAAAAACCCGGGACAGCGGAGGGCTTCTCCGCTGTCCGGGCGATCTTAAAATGCTGGCGGGCGGCATTTAAAATTGCCCCGGGACAGCGGAGGACTTCTCCGCTGTCCGGGGCAATTTAAAGCCCCTGGGAAGGCAGGCAGGGGGACAAAGACTTTTGCCCCCGCCAGCCTTCAGAAGAGGTCCTGGACCTCTTCTGAAGGTTGGCGGGGCGAAGTCTTGTCCCCTCCACCTGCCTTCAAAAGCTGTCCAGCCAAGGCTTCGCGGACCTCTCCGCAAGCAGCGGCAGCACTGCCGCTGCTTGCGGAGGAGTTGCCGGCATGCCGAAGCCTGCGCGCGCTGAGATCAGCGCGCCCAGGCTCCGCGGACCTCTCCGCGAGCAGCGGCAGCGCTGCCGCTGCTTGCGGAGAGTTGCCGGCATGCCGAAGCCTGCGCGCGCTGAGATCAGCGCGCCCAGGCTTCAGCGGACCTCTCCGCGAGCAGCGGCAGCGCTGCCGCTGCTTGCGGAGAGTTGCCGGCATGCCGAAGCCTGCGCGCTGAGATCAGCGCGCCCAGGCTTCGCGGACCTCTCCGCGAGCAGCGGCAGCGCTGCCGCTGCTTGCGGAGAGTTGCCGGCATGCCGAAGCCTGCGCGCGCTGAGATCAGCGCGCCCAGGCTCGCGGACCTCTCCGCGAGCAGCGGCAGCGCTGCCGCTGCTTGCGGAGAGTTGCCGGCATGCCGAAGCCTGCGCGCGCTGAGATCAGCGCGCCCAGGCTTCAGCGGACCTCTCCGCGAGCAGCGGCAGCGCTGCCGCTGCTTGCGGAGAGTTGCCGGCATGCCGAAGCCTGCGCGCGCTGAGATCAGCGCGCCCAGGCTCGCGGACCTCTCCGCGAGCAGCGGCAGCGCTGCCGCTGCTTGCGGAGAGTTGCCGGCATGCCGAAGCCTGCGCGCGCTGAGATCAGCGCGCCCAGGCTTCGCGGACCTCTCCTGCCTTCAAAAGCCGTCCGGGATAGCGGGAAGCGCTTCCCTGCTATCCCGGACTGCTTTTAAAATGCTGGCGGTGGGGAGCAAAGCCTTTCGGCCCCCGCCAGCCGTCCTGGACCTCTTCTGAAGGCCGGCGGGGGGGGGGGAGGCGTTGCTCCCCCCCCCAAGCATTTAAAAGTGGGCCCCGGAGATTTCCCTATGGGCTTTCGTCTTGCGAAGCAAGCCCATAGGGAAATTCGTTTTGCGAAGCGCCTCCAAAACGGAAAACCCTTTCGTCTAGCGGGTTTTCCGTCTTGCGAGGCGTTCGTCTTGCGGGGCACCACTGTACTGCTTGCTGTGATACTACATAACTGGTGCATGGATTAGACATAGGTTGCTTTCCCCAGCAGGGTTCAGGGTAAGCAATTACGTAGCTTGGCATGAGGCCATCTGCAAAATGTATGATGTAAAATGTTAAAAATCTCAACCAAAAAGCCAAACCCAGCCTGCATCTGCTTGAATTAGCCCACTGGTTCAGGACACACCTGTGCCATACTGAACTGAATTCATCCTATAATCATCCCATCAGGTGTCAGTTTCCTCCTCCTCTGTGCAGGGACAAGTAGGTAGGGGAAACAGGGTGTATCTCAAGCTACTGGTGGTCTCTATTTGGTTTGATGACTCACAACTAGCATATGGGAAATACTTCTCAATGATAGGTATTGAAATAATTACAAACAGTCATTATTATTATTATTATTATTTATTCAAAGATCACAGGGTGGTTCACAAGATAAAAAATACTAAATGAGAATAAAAAATACATGATAAAACAAAAACAAATTGCACTGTAAATATCCCACAAGCTTTTCCATGTAATTTTTGTCTGCTTGGCAATCTAAGCCTTCATTTTCAAATGCATTTGTCAGTGTTTCCCAGTGACTTTGGGTTTTTTTTTAAATACCAAAGTATATCAATATTTTCCCCCAGTTGCCATATACTGTTTGGTCAAGCCATAATGGTATGTTTAAAAACAAAAGTAATATTTGTGGACACACCAATATTTTCCCCATCCATGATATGTTCAGATGTGTCCATTGACTTTACTCATTTTTTACTTCCCGTAATAAGTTATCATGATTATGCTTTTAAAACCTTCCAAATTCTGTGATATCCACATTATGAGATATTTACTCAGAATGTCTTTCTGTGATAGTTCATATTATTCTATTATTTTTTCTTTCACAGGTTTATACACATTAAAACCCATTCATTCCATTTTTATAATATTAGTTTTATATCCTGAGCGCTTACTAAATCCTCTGATCAAGTATCACAATTTCTTGGATGCTTTCTTAGAGTCTTTTACAAGTGCTACCACATCATCTGCATATAAGTTAAATTCTTGGCCTGTTGTTATCCCTTTAACTGTTCTGTTAGATGTCAAAGCTTCAAACAGTGCTATTTTTCTGGAAAAAAGAGATGCCAGAACTCATTATGAACACCTCCCTTGTTCTCTTAGAATGGCAGTGGCACCACCTGAGAGGTGCTGGCTGAGAAAAAGCCCTGGCTTCAGATATAAGATTGACCAATACTGCAAATGACGGGGGAACCATATTGTGGAGTTTACGTGAGCAAGAAATTGGATTGTCTATTAGCAGATCACTTGGCTGTCTCCATGGCTTCCTTTAGTGTACTTGAGTTGCTTGATCTAGAGCTGTTCTCATAATTGCATTGGAGGAGTGTTCTGGTGAAAGAAAAGGCTGTTTCC